GGAGCCTATCCCTGCTCTGCCAGGCCTTTATGGCTTTCAGAAACTGCGCGAAGACCTGCTGGCTAGAGGTGTTTGGCACAGATCCAAGGGCTCGTGCTACCTCCAAATTGTCTAGGCAAATGTAGACATTGCTGGCAAACTTCGCCTGAGGTGAGGTGGTGGCTTTCTTTAGGCCCTGCAGGGCTGCCATTGCCTCTGCGTCAAAGACCTCTGCTTTATCCATTGGCAGGTTTCCTGTGGAGATTAGACGGTGTTTGCTACCCCAGCATATAGCCCATCCTGCACCAGTCGCACGCTGAGGGTGCTCTATCTGTGAACCATTGGTAAAGACCACCAGATCCAGGGGATTGCGTTGTTGTAGCCAGCTCTTAAAGTCTTGTGCTGCCTGTTCCTTTGTGCGGCCTGCCTCATACCCAATCTGCAGATCTTCTTTCCTGGGAAATCTCATCCAAGGGGGCGTGAGTAGAGGGTCATATGCTTCTATCCCACCAGCATGACTGGACGCTCTAGACAGACGTGTGGTATAGGGTTTGGTGGTAGCTACTTTATTAGAGCGTCTCACTAGCGGGTGCCTCTTGTCAAGCTTTTTGATTCTTACTGCAAATACAGCACACCGGTTGTCTAGTGTCTCTTTCATTGGCATGATTCCTAGCTCACGGTGTAGAGCTGAAATGGGTGTGGTCTTGTAGACTGGCAGTGCCCCTTGCAAAGCATCTCTAAGGGCTAGATCTAGCTTTCTGACTAGGCAATCCATTCAATTGGAGATTTCCTTTCCCTTCTCCATTTGTGTGGCTCCAGGCCACCAGGCCTCTGCTCCATAGCAGAGCACAGAGAGCACACAGGCCTGAATGGATTGTCTAAGCAGTTGTACTGGGGCGCCTCTTGCTGTGTTGCTTAGTGCTCATATGCCATTAGACACCTGTCGTGCCTTAGCCGCCATGGTCTCCACGTGTTTCTTGAAGCTCAGTTTTCTATCTAGCCAGATTCCTAGATATCTTATGGAGCTTTTCACTGCCTTTGCTGTAATAGAGTGAGTGCCAGATGTTGTTTCAAGGTCAATTGAGGGGTTTGAAAGGGTTCTGCGCCGTGTGAAGTGTGCTATCTCAGTTTTGGCAAAATCAAATGTCAGCCCTTCTTTGCTGGCCCAATCATTTAGCAACTTGAAATCCTCCTGGAGAGTAACAACATTCCCTTCAAGAGTGGTTCCAGCACTAAGCAGTCCTAGATCATCTGCGTAGCCTAAGCGTGCACGTCTTCTTTGTATAGTTCCTAGAAAGAACAGAGGCTGAATAAACAGCATGAATAGAATAGGTGAGACTGGCGAGCCTTGTGGAAGCCCTGCTGGGATATCAAAGAGCTCTCCCAGGAGTCCATCCAATCTGATCCTGCCTGTGCGTCCTGTCATGAAGCTTTCCACCCATCTAATTAAATTTGGTGGCCAGCCTTGTTCTTGCAATCTCCGCAGCATCCTTCCTCTGAGTACAGCATCAAAAGCACCCTTGATGTCCAGAGTAAGAAGAGAGACTACTTTTCCATGGGCCCAGGCTTCCTCTATATCATGAACCATCGCTGCCACTAGGTCTGAGGCAGCCCGCCCAGGGAGGGCTCCAAAATGCTGGGGGTGGACAATCTTCTCTTGTATAGCTGTCCAGGCCAGCCTACGGGCTACCAGGCGTTCCAGTCCCTTCCCCAACGTTGAGAGAAGGGCTATAAGCCTGTAGGATCGCGGGAGTGTTGGATCTCTGTTGACCTTAGGCAGCACAACCAGTGTGGCATCTTGAAAGGAGGTTGGGTGCCAGCCAACCCTAAGGCAGGCTCTGAACAGCCTTTCCACTGATACCTTAATATGTGGCCATGCCTTTTGTAGCACCTCTGTTGGCACTCCATCAGTTCCTGGAGTGGTATTACCTGTGTTCAGCAGAGAACTTTGTATCTCATGTGCTGAGGCAACAGGAAAAGGTAATTTGACAGATGGTGGGTTGGACCAGCTGATTGGGATATCCTCTCTGCTTGCAGCCTTCTGTAAGAGCACCCGTTGCAGAAGGTCTCTTTTCTCTCTAGGGGTTGTTCGCGTTTGCCCAGTCTCTTCATCTACAAGAGGGGGGGAATGAAAGAAGCCAGTTGAATGGGCCCATTTGATCATCTTAAAGATATCTTTCCCCACTGAGGCCTCTGCTATCTTGCCTTGCCAGTATTCTCTCTTGGCTTTCCTGGTGGTCCTGACTACGTTGCTTTTTGCTTCTCGTAAAAAACTAGAGCCTAGGTGCTGTGCACGATGTAGTGTTGTCACTGCTTTCTGGCAGTCCTCATTCCACCATGGCTGACCTGTGCCTTGCCCGGTGCTCTTCTTGGTGGAACTTTCCAGGGAAGCTATTAGTGCATCTGTGATACCTTTAGCCAGGGCATCCAGCTGATCTGTATTGGGGTACTCTGGGAAATCACATAGTTTGTCTAGTTTTGGCTTATAGGCCTCCAGTGTCTGGTTAAAGACCTTCTCATTCATGGTGTCGAGACGGAAAAAATGGGTTGGCCTGTCAGGCCTTGCGCCCTGTGGAAGGCTGATTTTGGTGAGAAGAGTCTGGTGGTCAGAGGAAGTGTAAAGGGATCTGTCCACCTGTGTGTCCACTCCTTTGATAACTAATTCCGGGGTGGCCCAGGCCAGGTCTATCATGTTATGCCCACGTGTGGGAGTGTCTGGGTCCATGGTGAGAGTAAAGTTGAAATTCATGGTCCATTGCAGGAATGGTTCTGCCCACATGCTTGGAGGCACTCCTGGTTGCCACACGGGGTGCTTGATATTGAGGTCGCCAGCAAGGAGCAATGGGAGTGCTGGGACAGACCAGGAGAGAAGACAGCCCACACCTTGTCCAGGATCCTCTGCGCCTGGGGGTGCATTGTATATGTTGACTGTCTGAAGCTGTAGACCCCAGGCCTGTATGTGCAGCATGTGGATGTCCCGGTTTTCTGCCCAGGGGCCTGGGACTGCATGAGCATGGATTTGTGGGTGTTTACGCACATAGGTGAGGACCCATGGCTTCCTGTCCCACTTTTCAATTGGGGCAAAGCAGTTGAATGCTGGATGCTTTTTGGAGATGCGTTGGCTTAAGTTCCTGTGAATCCAGGGTTCCTGTATGAGAAGGATGTCAGTCTTTCTTTCAAATGCTAGATTGAGGGCCGTCTCGTGTGCTGGGCCCCCTTTTCCTACGTTGACTTGCATAATCTGCAGGAATTGCGGAGATCTAGAGTTCTTCTTCATTGAGTAGCTGAAAGGAGGGTGTTGTTGCGTGAGATGACGTGTTGGGTGTTGCATTAGATGTTGGGTTGGGCGCCATGCCTAATGCTGTGCCTGATGCTGTGCTCAATGCTGTGCTTGGTGCTGTGTTTGATGTCAGTGTGAGGTTAGATCTATGCTCAGTAGAATCATTCAACCTCAGGTCTGCTGATGGCCCTTGACCACCGCATTTGCTGTTACTTGCCTTGGCCAAGTATGTCTTACTCTGTGCATTGCGGATATCCCTCAGCTGGTTTCTTGAGTGCCTTTGAACAGTCCCATTCTTTATCCCTGGTCTGGCGGGGCAGGATGGATCATCCGCGGCATGTGGTCCAAGACAGTTAGTGCAGTGATTGAGGCATCCACATGCTTCATTCTCCTTATGACAGGATGGATTTCCTTTCACATGATTCTTAGAACTGCATTTTTTGCAGCGAGGGATGCGGAGGCAGTATCTCTCTTGATGAAATCCCCAGCATTTGCTGCATTGTTGTATTTTGACCTTAGGTGCCTTTCTGATCACTGGTCTTTGATATCCATATAGTTCCACTTTTGATGGCAGGTTTACTGCTGTCTCTTGCGAAAAGTGTAATATAAGAGTGGCTGTTGGGTTTCCAGGGTGTATTTTTGCCCAGCGACTCTGGACAGGCTTGATTCTGGTTTGGAGTGTGAATTCTTCTGTCATGGATTCTGCTGAGAGACGCAGAGTTCCACCACCATAGTCACTAATCTCCATGGGCAGCCCAGGAATCAGGCAGGTGATCCAATGTTCTTCCTTCTCTATCTGAGTATTGGTGAGGGTGGCTGCTAAAACATTCTTTTGGGCTAGCAGGGCCTCCATGTCTTGCAAGCTTCTAGGAATGATGGCAATGCCTGTGGGGATGGCTTGAACTGCTGTGATGGCTGCTGCCAAAGGCCCTGGGAGTTCAGCCTTCAGCTTTCTAAGAGTAGCAATTGGGCTTGCTTTGCAAGCTAGATGATCTGAAGGCAGGCGCGCGAGGATTTGTGGTGTTTTTCCTTCTCTGGGGTTATTCCTAAGCAGGGGTTTCTGCAGTATGGTTGCTGGTGTTTTTGTTACATTGGTGCTGTCTGCAGCTGTCTTTGCGTAGGTAGGAGCTCTTGCATCATTTGCACCAGTGGAGCCAGCAGGCTTGATTGTGGTGGACTGCTTAGCTGTTTCTAGACTTCCATTGTACCAGTCCTTGACTAACGCCTTCACAGCGGCTCCAAGGGCCAGTGCCCTTGATAGGCCTTTTGCCTTCATGACATCTAGGTCTTCTTCAATCCGATCAAGCATATTTGCAGCCGCTAGTGCTTCTGCATGGGATTTCTGTGCCTCAGCCTCGTGGGCGGCTAGGAGATCGCTAGCCATTGGGCCACGTAGGTTGAGGTGAATTGGTGCGACATTTCTGCTCTTTGAGCTGCCTGCTGGTGTAGGGGAGCTTGGAGACTCCATGTCATTCAGTTCACATGTGCGGCGGGCGATTGGGGTGAGGAGATGGGGTCTCTTGGGTGGACGGCGTATGGGGGAGCAGATGCGCGTCAAGGCTCGGGACGCGTTCGGTGGTGTTGGGGGGCTGGGCGTGCTGGCGGCGCTGCGTCGGCACGCCATCAGGCTTGCTGCCTGAGGGGATGGGAGAGAGCTTATAGGGATGTGATCAGGATTGAT